TTGAAGAACGATGCCGGTGTGCCAGGGTAAATAACTCCTGAAGCTAAAGGGTCAGGAGAGGTCAAGAGAAAGACTGTCCTCATTCAGCCACTTAATCAGGGTTTACACAGTTCTGGGAAATAAAGTCCTCAAAAGTTACAACATGCCACCATCCGGGCCGGCCAATGTGCACAGTTGTCCAGTGCATCTCAGTCTCTTGAGCAATGGTTCTCCTCTTGAACTGCCAAAACAAATGACAAAGGTTTCTCCAGCAGGCGCCTCAGAGATGATAAAAGTCTGGCTCAAGGACATTTCAGCAGACACTGTGCTATCATGGGAACTGTGACCCTTCAGTTGACCAGTCTCTCTGCTGAGCTCTGTCCTATCTGCGTGGAGATAAGCTTGAAGACATAATGGACTGATAGCGCAGCTCTTAACCTCATGATGAATGGAGCTCTTTCATCCTCTGTCGCTTTGCTTTTATCTCTTTCTGTCTCTGTTTATCACTTCACTTGTCCAAAACTAAGATTTAGCCTCAGATGCGCTTACACAGAAAATACCACATTGCAATTATCGTGTCATGAATGCAGATGTTTTTTTCAGCCAAAGGTGAGGCTCCATCGTTCTGCTAGCAATGAAATATAAATGTGTTTGGATGCGAGGGAGACGCTGGCCGAGGTGAAGTTGGGAAAAGGCCAAAGAGGCAAACGTAAGAGCTGGAGAAAAAACAGAAGTCAAAGTCAAATGAGAATTCAAACAGAAAGCAAATGTGGATAACACAGAGTTGAATCTGTGTTCGGAAAACTGGCAGGCTGCTGTGAGTGTGTGCGCTTGCGTCACATGAATGTGTGTGTGTGTGTGTGTGTGTGGCGAAGGGGCCTCCCGTGCAGTTACACTGGAGCCACTTAGCTTTTTGGATGGCCGGCCTTTAATTTAAGAGAGGCCTGTTGAAAAGCCCGGTTTGATTGCTTTTCTAAAACAACCTCATCTAAAAGCCCTAAATAACCAAATACCTCTGTGACGACGACGGAGCAGATCCAAACTCTTTAACTACGTCCCTGCGCCTGGGAATACACATACAGCCACATCCATTTAATGGCATCAGCCGCATGGTTACGGCATGAGTGGGGGTAGCTCGAGGGAGAGGAGGTCTTGAAATGAAATTAGGATTAGTGAGAGCAGATTCCTCCAGGATCCTGCTGGTCTGAAGCCAGGCAGCTCTTAAACCTGTTTCTGGGTCTTTCTAACTCTATTGTACTTAATTTTTCTGCCCTTCCACAACCTCTTGCTTTCTCCCTCTGTCTCCATCTTCTTCTCCTCTAATAGCTGACATTTACAAGGAGGCCACAGCAGGGTTCGTAGAAGGTAAAGCCATAAAGTCTGACACATCTCCAAAGCTTTCTCATTCACACACACACACACACACACACAGGCGTGAATTGGCCATGAGGCTACTGTGGCGTCACGCCAGGGTTTTTCCAAACGAACCAGGAGGAGGAGGAACTGCAGCGGCGTGTCACAGAACGAGTGATATGAAATAACAACAGCTAATGCTAATTTCCATAACTCACAAGTCCAAATTTCCACATTACGGTTTTCACTTACTTTGTGCCAATCATTGAGACGAGATGTTTGAAAGACATATTGTTTGTGCCTCCAAATCCAGCTTTGGGAATTAGTAAAAGTGGTTTGGGACTGGGTGGTTTCCATTTTTTTTTTACAGCTAAGGAAATGTTTTGGTGGGTAAATGAATGACTGCCTCCTTTATTACATAATGTGTCAGTGATTGGTGAGCAAGGCACTATTCCTTGAACAGTTCAAAGCTAAAATATTAATTATTCTGCCTTAAAAAGGACCAGATTTAGTGGAATCTGGTAGTTGGAGATTGCAACGCCCTCATCTCACCTTCCCATTGCAAGAGTATAGGAGAAACTACGTGAAAGGCCCCATCTAGAGCGTCTGTAGATAAAAACTGCTCATTCTAAGGTAACAAAAACACAACGATTCCTGGTTTCAGGTGATTATACACTAATAAAAACATACCTAAGAATATTATATCCCACACTGGACCTTTAAATCTATGACTTGGCAGGGAGACTAAATGTTAGAGAACAACTTGCGTGAGGTACTTTGGGAAGAGTGCTATGGACTGACTTTACTGCTCCACCAGTACAATGAATGCTTGGCGGTGAACTTGGTGTCCATATGTGTGCAGGGGGCAAAGTCATGTGATTAATTTGACACGGTATAACACTCCTGACTCAAAGGTGGTAGTCGAATGATTATAGGTTCACCATCGTCACAGAACATGAAGACCTGGTTATAAATAGGGAAGAGAAGCCAAAATGTTTATTTTTATTCCCAAGGGTTGATGGGTTGGGCTATTATTGGGCTGATATCTGAATGTGGTGTTTAACAATACCAGTATGTAATGCATTAACTGATTGAGCTTCCTTACAGTAAAGGCCCTGACACACCTGGCTGACTGTCGGCTAATGTTGGGCTGTCGGTGAGCGTCTGTAGTACTAGTTCTTGCGGTGTGTTAGTCCGAGAGAAATGGAAGCTGCAAGCAGCAAACAACTTTGTCTTTATCTCATCTGATCACTCAAATACACAGATATTTTAACAACAAGAAACCTACATTGTTCGTACCCAAAGTCCTAGATCTTCTGGTGTTCGGCTGGTATTGATAGTTCTTACCTCTCGTGCAGTCGTGGAACGTATGATACAAGGCGATGCAACAGTCGGCTTTTGTCTCTGCTAGTTCTTTGATGTCGGCTTGGTGTGTCAGAGCTAAGCTAAGTGAGATAAGGCCAATCACAACATTACTGACAGTGAGTGTCTTAGGGGTAACACCAGATGGCTTTGATTTAACCCACTGACCGAGGTACCATTGGAAAGAACTGGTAACAACCCAAAATGCATCAAATCAGGGCTAAATGCCTCTAAGCTGCATGCTAAAAATGTAAAACCGAGTATAATTTAAACACTAAACCCCACTTCCTGTCCTTTTCTGGCTGGTTTTGACTTGATCTACAATCCAGTGATGCCAAATCATGAATCAGGCTAAAGGTGGTGCTGTCTTTTCATCACCCCGAGAGCCTTCATGAGAAACAGTCTCTACAGTGGAGTCCTCTGCAGCCTACATAAAGGGGAGTATGGGAACCATGCAGTACTGTACAAAGGAGCCCGCCACCGTCACGCTTTATCTCTGCCCTGTCTTTTATGTAGCTGTCTAAAGGGTCAAGCTTGTCACGCTTGCAGAAAATGCTGCGACGTACGTAACTTCACACGTCGAGTTTAAAGCTGTCACACATGTACAGAGCTCTGCTTTAGCCGCAGGAAGCACGGAGGTCAACAATGCAGCGCGACTCGGAAAACTGATTTCACGAGTGAGATTAGAAAAATCTCCAAGAACAAAATGAAGTTGCTTCAAACGGATATGGAGATCTACTGCTGCGACTTTTGGCACCGAAACATTTATATAACAAACTTTTCAACAGATATAACAGTAAAATTGTCAAGTTATTAAAGTCAATAAACTCAGCAGCAGGACTTTACATTACTAGAGTTTGTTTATTCTGCGTGTGTGCTCTCAATGCTAAACTGGAACCGACAGTTTAAGAGGGGTGTATGGTTTCAGACATCATCCCAGTGTGTTACTTTAGACTAACTGAACCGGTTTTTGTGGTGCATGTGTGTATAAGTGTGTGTGTGTGTCCTTCATTACAATTCAACCTTGAGGGATGGCTGATGTCATCTGGATAACAGAGCTCTGAGAACCAAAGATGGTGAATGTGCTCTCTTTCTCGAGTTGTACAAGTTATACAACTACAAGTCTGGTTTCTTACTCTTCTTTCCTTCAGTCTCTCTTTATTTCTTTCCTTCAGTCTTTATTTCTTTCCATCCCAGTTCAGAACAAAGATTCAGGATGAGAAGAAACAGTTTGCAGGGAAACATTGCAACAGTGTAAAGTTGTTATATCAGCTCGACTCAAGCCGGTTAATGGCATTGCTGCAACTTAGATGGTCTGGTTTTAGATCATATATCACCTGTTTCAACAGCCAATCAGCTCATTGCGAAGTCAGCTGGAAAGAGACGATCACCTCTAATCCATTTGTTTGACACAAACCTTAGACTGTATCCATGAACCCATGGACAGCTCCATATTCTCAACCCTCTTATTTTCTTGAGAATTTTCAACGTTTCGTGCAACTGTAACAACTAACTTACGATCACTATCCTCATTTTATATTTTAGGACGCAGTCAACTATATCCAGCTACAAAAAAAGCCTGAAAAGCCAGCAGTTAGAACAAAGTGCACAGCGTACACGAGGGAACTTCCATCATTGTTGAGAATACAACCAAGGATTGCTGCACTGACACAAGGACACTGGAAGTCAGAGTTCGGGGTCCTAAGAGAGATATTCATGGTCTTTGCATTTATTCGAACGACAAGATAAGTTATAGACGATTTAATAGTTATTATCAACATTTTACACACGTTTTATAACTCTTTAGTGGATAAAACAGATAAAGACAAGATAAAACCTGAATAAATACCAGTGTACACATGTAAATCCCAGATCCCTAAAAGCAGTTTAGTAAGTGGTCAAATAGTTTGTTCTTGTATTTCCAGTGCTCCACAGGCATTAAAATTCCCAATATCTTGTTTGCACATAATGTCACGTCACTGCGATCCTGTGGAACGGAACTGCAGACGGAGGGCAGGATGTGATTTTACGGTAAAATTACAGTTTTTATCGAAGGAGTTTGGTGATCTTTGAAGAGAGCCGTTTATCATCAGTTCCCCATTTCAATTAAACTGAAAAAAATGCTCTTTTTCATAACATAAGAATCACGTCCAACACATGTTGTGATTTCCTGTTTGTACCTTTCTCTTATAATATCGTTGACCAGCAGAGACTTTCCTCCATCTGAACTTTACGCATCAGCAGCTAATGGCAGATTAAGTGGTCTAGTATGTACCTACGATTAAACCCACTCACACACATCCTACCTGCCAGGCAGAGTCCGAAGATGGTGAGAAGAACCAGGATGTAGAGGGAGACGATGGCGTACTTGATGGCTGAGAGCGAGTTCAGGTGACCGCAGCAATGATCCTGCTTCCTGCGACGTTTACCAGAACCTGAGCGAGACGAGAAAATTAGCACCGAAGAACAGGATGAAAGTCCAAACAGAGGTGGAAATATTACAACATGCCAAGTTCTCTTATGGATAAAACAGCAAAGGGAATTTGGCTTTTAGATTGTTTAAAGATTTGTTTGCATCCTACAAAACGAAACATTGGAGAGCTTGTTAATCAGCGGATGGGAAAGTATGTGTAAGGAGTTTGAAAAGAGCAAAGCTTCATGTTTTCCAGTTTCAGAGAGCCCATAGAAGCGAGCACAGGTGGTTGAAGTTAAGAAAATAAGTCCAAAGGCTTTTATCATAAAGCCTGACATTTACTGTTGCAGTGACATAGTGCATGAACACAACGTAAGATCATCCATCACGTAATGACCGCGGTGCACGCAATCGTGTGTTTTAGAGACTGTAGAGACTGTACACCTGAGGAAGCAATATCAAACACATTTACTGGTTTAGAGGCTTAAAATGGTTTTACTGCATCATGAAAAGTATAAAGTATATTAGAAATGATGTGTGTTAAATGGTTTATACATTATTGTCTGATGGCTAGTGAGATACATAATGATACGAGTATAACACCAATACATTTACAGTGAAGTGGTTATATATAAATCATAAAACACTCACAGGTTTGGGGGATAATAGATTATAAGTGTCAGAGTTACTTAATCAGGATACAAAAAAAGGTAACTAATCTGTTACAGGAACAAAACATGTAATCAGATTAGTAACATTTAATAAAAATGGGGATTATTGGCAGAATTGCAATTTTAAAATAAAGAATGACAGAAAAAACAAAGGCGACAGCTTCATTTAAGTCTAACCTTTTATTCACTGTTTATTGTTTCATCTTTCATTTTTATTATTCCTATATTTTACAGTGTTTATTGCTCATTCTATATATTGTTACTGATGGTTCTTAGTGTTTGATTCCTATTGGTTTGTTGGTATTACCCAGTAAAGCATCGTACTGTATCAGGATCAGAATCAGAATCAAAAATCCTTTATTGATCCCTGGGGGGATAAAACATAATAAGAGTCTGTATGTACATTGTGCTACAATATATGCCACTATATAGAAGATAAAAATATATTTATGCTACAATATATGAAGTGTATTGAATACTGAATAAATAGTAATAATAGCTGAATTCTTTAAAAATGCACTATTTGTGACAAAGTCTAATCAGAGTAGCTGATATAATATTATAGATAATTCATTATCTTGTTCACTGGGTGGAAATTCTGCCTTCCAGCTGTGAAAACAGTCAGTAGGTTACTGCCTGAATTTACTTAATTAAAAGCAAGTTAATCTTTAAAAACACTCTGAGCAGACGACACACTGTCTTCTGAAAACTTTAAAAAACTTTGAGTTATAGAATACCTAAAATTCAAGTAACAGAAAGTAATCAAGTTACTGTAATAGCGTGATACTTTATTAGGTTACTGACTACATTTTTTAACAGGCAATTAGTAACTGTATCTGATTACATTATTACACAACCCTCCAAACACACACACACACACACACACACACACACACACACACACACACACACACAAGAGCTACAGTGAAACTGTAATTCATGTCACCACTTAACACTCCTCTCACTCTGAAGGACAAACAGATGTTGGAGAATTAGTCTTGATAAAAGTGACACAGTGTGTGTGTGTGTGTGTGTGTGTGTGTGTGTGTGTGTGTGTGTGTGATAGCTTTGCAGGAGGCAGGGATCAGACTGTTGATGTTGAGGGAACATTCCCTTCAGGTCAAGAGGATCAAGAGATTTTCGATGGTTCTGGAGTCACATCGTTCATCAATCATTGCAGCAGGAATGTGATATCGGTTAAAGAAACAAATATGAAAGTGTAATTTATATAAATATTAATGACTGTTCACTTGTTTGCAGTTTGCAGCGACAACAGTGGAAGATTTGCTGCTTTAAATTCGTAGCAATCTTTTGAACAAATGTCTTTAGTTGCAGGTAGAAGCAGACTTTAGTTTTTAGCCAGTTTCAAAGGTTGAGGCTGGCAGATGTTATCAGCTGTTGCTATCATCTCTGGTTGACTTTTTAATGTTCGCTGCTGATTTGCTTTAAAGTGTCTGATGCAAAAAAAGACTGAAGTTAAAGGTTCGCCTACGGGCAAAATGTCGGCATCTTCAGTAAATTTTTAATGTAGAACACAAAGTAAAAAAAAGATTATTAATAGATTAGCTAATGTAAAAACAGTAGCTAATTATATAACTAACGATTGACATAGATTAGTTAGTTAGTGTTTTGCTAAAACTAGCCAACTAACTAACTTAAGATGTGAATATACACACACTAAAGTCGTGAAAAAATGTGCTAAAATAATGCGTTGATGCATGCTCCAGATTCCCCCGTACAAGTTCAGTACTCACACGTAGCTATCTTAACGCTAAGAAAACAGCACTGAAAATGTTAAAAAGCATTAAATAAAACAGCAAAAGGATGTGTGAAGCGTCGCTTTTACCTTTTCAAAATGTGGCTGTCCTTTCAACACAGATTAGCCTAGCATATAGCATATCTAAGTACAGGAAAGGAGGAAGTCGACCAAAGTTACTGACCAAAACTGTTACTGGAGCACAGACCAAAAAGGGGCGGGACTTAGGAAGGGTCAACTGTCAACTATTGGACAGAGCAGAAATGGACCAAAAGGCCTTTATATAATAAATCATACTGTAAATACTGTAACAGTGATGTTGACACAGACTCTAAATGTTTGAGTTGATGGACAGAAGTTAAGGAACCCAGGAGAGGATGTGAGATATGAACGGACAGGTGTCTTTATGAAACCACTGCGCCCATGTGACACTTACTTTCTGATAAATACCACCGCGGGGACGTTATGAGGCTCTTACGAGACTCCATCTTCCTGTGAACGGCCGTGATGTTGGCTTGAGTCTTGACTTTTAAACATAAACAATGATTTTGCAGCGCGGCCTCCCAACAGCATGGTTTCATTTGGACCTTGACAATCTGTCAGTGGACACTGGTGAAGCACACACACACACACACACACACACACACACTTCCCGTCTATGATGAAGAACACACACTCCTCCAGCATAAGACAAACACAGCTGGCTCAGATGTGTGTGTGTGTGTGTGTGTGTGTCTCATATGGATGGAATGTATAGAGACTCAAAGCTAATCTGCCTCTCGAGCTTAACTCGTGCTGAACTTCAGAACACGCTTTTCGAGAAAAGAGACGAAACCAACCGCACATCACGCAAACCCCTTCGTATAAAAGCACAGCGGGGAGATAAACGCAGCGGTCTGGAGCTTCAGGGGGAAATGAGCTCGTCGTTTTCTGTCTTCTGATGTTTCTTTCTCCAGCCTGTGTGCGTGAAACCTTTCAGGTTGGCTTTGGTGGCATCTAGCAGTGCGGTTGCAGATTGTTACTCCCTCGCTTCACCGTCCCTTTTCCCGGTACAAAGGAGAAACCACGGTGGTCGCCAAAAACTCACTAAAACCATGAAAGGCCCTATCTAGAGCCAGTGTTTGGTTTTGTCTGTTCTGGGCCCAAAATAGTGAACAGTAGATAAAACTGTCTACCCTCCAATAAAAAAAGAAAGAAAAACTTGGGAAAGCCCCCTATAGAGCCTCTGTAAATAAAAACTGCTATTCTAAGGTAACAAAAACACAACGATTCTTACTTTAAGGTGATTATACTTTAATGAAAACATACTTGTAAATATAATATTACATTTCTGCCAATAGATCCTCCTCAATGTGACACACTGGACCTTTATAAAAAAATAAGAAAATATTTTAAAAAAGGAGAGGCCATCACAATTGGTAACATCTTTCAATTGCAAATTCTCACATTTGAGGATTTTGTGAAATATTTAAAGTTTTTGCTTGATAAACAACAAATAATCAATCAATTTAAGGGTGTTTCAGGGTTTTGTTATACTGTTCTTTGAAATACTGCCTTGTGTGTATGAATGTTGTTGTTTGGGCGGCAGTAGCTTGGGAACCAAAGGGTCGCCGGTTCAAGTCCCACAGACCACAATACGGAGTGTGGACTGGTAGCTGGAGAGGTGCCAGTTTCACCTCATGTGCACTGCCGAGGTGCCCTTGAGCGAGGCAACCTAACCCCAAGAAACTGCGCTGCTAACGTTTCTCCAATAGGGGATTAATAAAGTACATATCTAAATCTAAATCTATCTATAAAACACGAGTAATTCTTGTTTTCTGTGATTTATGCCAATATGCACCCGATAGTGAAGAAAAGAAGACAAAACTTTTGTTGTGTGTCCAGCAGCCGACATTAGAGAGACAGAAGAGTCAATATTCATTCATCACATAATTGTAAAGACGTTTGGAAAATGCCGTTATTGCGCTGCTGTGTATTGCCTCCGACTCACGTCTGCGTGGTGTCGACACACTGAACTGTTTAGACAGTCGGATTAGTCGAGGATTATTTTATAGTAAACTTGGAGGTGCGACAACACGTTATGACCCATTTTGACACAGTGTGTTTATTTCCAGCAGGGCCGGTGTGAGTCAGTTACTGGCACTATCTGAGCAGTCGGTGAAATTAGTCCATTTTACAAGGACGAGGTTATTGATCCCTTTACTTTAACTTTCCAAATCAAACGCACATGGTGCTCGGAAAGCGCCACAGATTACATAAAAAGTCCGGCACTGACTCCGTAATTGGCAGGTGGCGGTGACGTTACTCGTGTGAGCGCAGCTTGTTTCCCCCAAAACAAAACGACAGAAAATGCTTCAAAAAGGCGTTAATCTATGTTTGTGTACCTAAACATTAACATTATGTGCTGTTATAATTACTATACGCAACTGAGGCCACAGTGGATTGTTAGAGCGCACAGCATTTAGAGCACATAAACCTTTTCTTGCTGCATAAATAAACCCTGTCCTTTTACCCATAATGCACAGCGTCTGGTGCTGTGCTTGTGTGAATCACGGTTGGATCACATTCTCATAGAAACCTCCCGACTGCTTTGTTTTGCTCTTTTCTTCCGCGCTCCAATAAAATAAGCTCCGCCACGGTTGGGAATATCTCCTCTAATTGAACGAGGTGTGAAAATGTTCAAGGATTTAGGAAAAGCTGGACGAGGACGGTCGTTTTTAATGTGTGAGGCTATTGTCCACTTTCCATTAAAATGTCAACAGATTCTACAGTTAAAGTTCACTTAAGACTTTCCCACCAAACTCGCTGAGCCCCGGGTCGAAACCTGAGAACACCACAGGGTCAACTGTGGATCTGTAGCAGCTGCACCTGTACACACACACACACACACACACACACACACACACACACACACACACACACACACACACAGATGTTGCTCCTGGACATTCCTGGCTTTCATAGATGACCACAGCGAGGGGAGAGCGAATGCCAAACAGTGACAGCATCGTTTGTGTGTGTGTGTGTGTGTGTGTGTGTGTGTGTGTGAGAGTCTGTATTGGTTATTAGTGTGTGAGTGTGTTATATGTGTGTGTGTGTGTGTGTGTGTGTGTGTGTGTGTGTGTGTGTGTGTGTGTGTGGGAGTTTCTGTGTACACACATAAATGGTTCTGCAGAAAGTCCCTTTCTGAAAATCAGTCATGGTGTGTGAGGATCTGCGTCTAAGTCTATCTCAGATTTCTGTATCTTAACACACACACACACACACATGTAACACACACACACACACACACACACACACACACACACATAATACACACATACACACATAACACATTCTTAAGGTTCAGTGTTGTTAAATTTGTCATAGAATAATCTGATAAAGTGTTCAGAGCTGTCGTTGTCACACCATAAACCAGCTTCTCATTGAGTTCAGACTAAAATACAAATGAAAAAGTTTAAAATAATCAGCTGCTTTGGAAAATGAATCTGTATTTTAGGTGAAAATCTGTGAAAACAAAAAGGAAAACAATAAGCCATCTTATAATTTTGACTTAATGTGAATATTTTTTATTATGAAGGTGAAGTCTTACTTATTTTAGTTTTTTATTGGAGGAAATGAGCTCGAATTTGAGAAATAATTAATATTTTTACAGCGTTGTGTCTTATAAATGTTGTTAACTGTTAACACAAAATCTGTATTTTGGCATGTAAATCTTTACGTGCAGCTCGGTGTCTCAGCTCTCGTCTTTACCTTCGTCACACAGGTTGAGTTTGGACAAGTTGCGTCCATCGTAGGCCTCTTCGTACATGGAGCCGCTCTCTCTCTCTTCATACGTACTCAGATACATGGCCTTGTTCTCCATCTCCTCCTGACTGAAGACAAAAGACACACAATCACATTTATTGTACACACACACAGAAAAGGGGATTTCCTACAGGTGCATGGTTTGGGTCCACCTGTCCCCTTAGACCCCAGTGGTTGAATGAATATGATTTCTGTACGAAAAATAAACAATGAACTTTACTTTACAAAATTAAACTTTTTTAAATTAGTTTTGGTTACCCGGTTGATGTTTTTGTATATATATATTAGGGGGATAGGACAGCTGAATGTGGACAGAGAGTCAGGATGACATGATGCAGCAAAGAGCCAGAGGTGGGATTCGAACCCACGGTTGATGCAGAAAGGACATCGGTACACAGGGCTACAGGGCGCCCCCTATCTTTATTAATGATGAAGATTTGGGGGTTTTTTTCAGCTTCTGAAGGGCGGTATGCCAGAAAAAGGTGCAAATCAGTACAAAGTTCTTCAGAGTAATATCCTTTATTGTATAATACATCAGTCCTGCTGGGAACAGCCTCTACTCCCAACCCTCAGCTCATAACAATGACGTGAATCATGTGACAACAACCAGATCTCACACCAACTAATCCTTTTGGAAGAACTTTTCCAGAGATTTAGAGCATCTATGACCCATAAGAATGAAGGATTAAACCTTGTATTGAGGGTCCTCACAGGTATACTAGTTCAAATGAGTGTGTTTGTTTCCATTGGTGCCCTCTAGTGCTGTGAACCACACACACACACACACACACACACACACACACACACACACACACACACACACACACACACACGTAGCTAAACAAACAGAAGGAAATCCTTGTGGTGTGAGGATTGCGGCTGTCTTTAGACCAGCGTTATGTGATTTGTTTCCTCCGCCAGCAGAGTTGGGCAGGAGTTGTGTTTTTGCCCCATTTCATCCGTCTGTTTGCCTTCTAACAGGAGATTAACAACTATGAATGAATGTGCATAAAGCGTCGTATAGTAGGGCGATATAGGGTGAGAAAGAACTGATTCATCCTTTCATATCATCTGAGCAGCGTGTGTGGAAGTGGAAGAGGTAAACCCGGCGTTATTAGCAACGTCAAACAGTATTAAAGTGTTCATTTTAGGATGTAGACAATCTGCTCTGCTGGTTTTTCCAAAACATGCTGCGGTGTTTGAACGTCGGCCCAAATGGAAATGGTTACTCAACAAACACAGAGCGGATTGCCACACAGTGAAAACCACCCGTTCAGATCCTGAGCTGTTCCTGCCAGCGTGTTCTGGTTCTTCTTCAGAGTTTCCTCCCAGTTTGATCCTGAAAACATCCTGATCAGTTACCCCCCCCAAAAAAAAAAAAAAAACCTTAACTGGGTCCTTTCAACACTAATGTGGTGGCTCCTTCTGGAGGTCCGAGCTCCTCATCCTGTTTGTGAAGGCTAAGTTGGAACAAGTTGGAAACTGATTATAACTTAAAGCTGTAATTTGTAACATCATTAAACAGTGTATAACCTCTGGCTCTATGTTCTATATGTAGTTGAGTTCTTACTTTATCCCAAATGTTTCCAACAATGTTCAAACTCAGCGAAATCTGTAATTTTATTCAGGTAACGCTGCGTTTCAGCGGTCGCCTGTCGATGGCGCCATATCCCCTTTGGGCCTGCGTCAGCGTTGTGGTTGTCTGTCAGAAGCTGTCATACATAGACTGTTGATCCAGTCTGAAGCCACATTGTTACCATCCACTGTTTAGATCTTGGTGCTTTTTAACTCTAGATTGGAACCAGATGAAGGATTTTAGTCATCGGACGTCTGGATCTTAAGTTATCAGAGAAACAAGCTGAACTAACGTTAGCAGCAGCTCGGCTCGCAGCCCCTCCGGGACGTCCTTTGTCTGTCCAACAGCGTGGGAGAAGCAGTGATTTTTAAGGTGGAACTGCTTTATTCAGTGTGTTTAGTGGTTTTAATCAGAGGGTCTGTTTGTGTTGGAGAGGAGGAGACCTCTGTGGATAACTGGACTCCCGGTAGAAACCTCCTGAGCCATGAACACTGAAGGAATCCTAACCCGGGAGAAGCTGACTGCAATGACGCCAATGGTGGTGAAGACAACAAATCCCATGATCCCACACTGCTTTTTGTTTTTCCCGCTCCATCATCACTTACTTTTACAAGATCCAAAATCTTGCAGCAGGAATATGAACACAACTATCTGATATCCTGTTTCCGGTACAGCAATGAGAATGTGTCTCCTGGAGCTTCATTTGTTTCATTTTAAGTGTAACCTGGAAATAATTCCCCACATTTTGGGTGCATATGCAAAAGCTGTGGAAAAAAGTATCTCCCTAACCTGCAGTGCTGCAGCTGTGGTGTCGGCATCTCAAGTATTTAAGCACATATGGACGCTGAGAGCTTAAAAAATGAAGAGTGCTTCGACAGATATGGTTATGGCAGGATTCCAACATGTCCTCCTTAAAAAAGAAACCAGGAGCCGAATGGGACCATAAATCCTGATGAAAACATTTCCTGGGAGAGAGGAAAGTGTCTCAAAGGCAACTAATCATCACAAGCAGTAATTCCACCTTAAACAGACGGTTGACAATGTCCTCCAGCAGGTGCGGCCATCAATGAGCTACTGCAGATCTGGCAGACCATCTATGATACATAACTCAATCGGTAATCGAAAGCACATTGAGTTTCACGTCTTATTTGTCACGACTTTAAAGCTTTAATATGCAGCATTTCCACATTAAAATGTCTAAAAACACTACACTTATGTTACATATGTTGTTGTGCATGTAGATTATCCCAAATGTTTCCAACGATGTTGGATATTCAGGTAACGTTTCACAGGTTGCCTGAGATCTCCTTTCTGCATGTGTTGGTCTGCCAGACACTCAGTCATAAACCTCTTATCCAGTCCAAATAAAACGGAAGTCAGAGTACACTGAGGTGTTTCTTTTTGCCAGGTTTGCCTCCTGGCACCCTGCGGATAAATCAGCTAAAGCAGTTGTGTGTTTGTACAGTAATCAGTGAGCTATAGTAGCAAGCCATGCTGCTAACTAATGAATATTTTCTCTGTGACACTTGGACTGATGGACTCATGTGTCACATTTTGTTTTACAAGAAGACACAATGATTGGATTTTGTACTTTTCTTTGGCCTACATTGCTAAACAGGGGTACGATATGACTGGGGATGTAATCTTAAAGATATTTTAAGTTTCATCTGGACTTTAAGCCATATTTTTACCAACGTTAGAGTCTTAGTTAATCAGAGAACAAGCTAAGCTAAAGTTAGCAGCAGCTCGGCTCACAGCCCCTCTGGGACGTCCTTTGTCCACTGAACAACATTGAGGAAACACATTTTTAAGGTGGAACTGCTTTATTCAGTGTTTTCACCAGTTTTAATCAGTGGGTTTGTTCGTTTCGGAGAGGAGGAGACCTCTGAGGATAATTCGGCTACTGGTATAAACATTTAGTACGTCTTTATCGTAAGTTATCGGAGAAACAAGTCAGTTAACTGATAATTAATCGCAATCCGTTGCTCACTTTAAGAACAAGAGTTCTTCAGTGCTTTTCGGGGCAGATTAAGTTTGTGAAGTCCCACTACCTCGCAGCCATACACCACACTATTTACTCTGAGCTGAGCACATTTGCTCTTTTAGTTTGGTTTCCTAGTTTCCCACGCTACGAGAAAACCAAACCAAATACGAATAAAGTGAAAGGGAACACAGGACAAATAGATAAGACCCATGACAGAGAGGTTGCGTCAACGCAGACATCTCTGAGGAGGCAAAATTAAATCCGCTGCAGTCAGGAATCAGTGGATGTTAAACTCCCACAACCCCCGGCGGCAGATCTGTGAGTGTTTGACAAAGTCGTTAAAAAGCGCTCAGTCTGGACTTTCTCATTACGGAGGGGACGGAGGGGTCAGGTTGACATTTAGACCGGAGCTAAGCAGGAACCATTAGGGCTGCTAGGAGATCCCAGTGAGCTCTCCCTGTATATGTGAGGGTGAGTTATCTGCTAATTACACTGAGTTTGGGGGGATATAACAGTTTATCACACACACAGGATGGTGGGAAAGCAAAGAGTCACCTCTGGCTCTGCCACTGTGGACAAAATAATAGAAACACAGGATCATTTTAGAAGAAGAGTCATCGATAAAGTAGATTATGTGTCGGATTACTCAAAACACCTGTACATTTCCTCCAGGACGCTGACCATAAGTGACAAAAGGCCTCTAAAACCACTGCTTACAGTACATCCAAAGCCCAAAATATTCACAACATGGTTCCCACTTATTTTCCAGGACCTTTCCAGAACATTTTCCAGGAGTTTTTCTTGAAAGCACAGCACAATCAGTCAGAAGAGCTGCAGTTTTGGGCAAATTGTTTACATTAATTTGGCCTCAGGAAGAAGTAACAGTTCAAATTCAACTTCTAGAAAGTTAAATTGTTTATTGCACCTACAGTTCTCATCACTGTGCTTGTATTTATCAACCACGCAACAAGAAATATGATTATTAATAGGCTGCATGCACGGAGGTAAGAGCTCACAGCTCTGGAAAAAACAGACTTGATGCTGAAAAGATCTCAGCAGGTCAGCTCCACTTTGCATCTGGTGAACCTGCTTTGAAGTGTCTTTTAGTTTATCCATCCAACAGTCGAGTTTCAAACAAAATGTGCACCTAGGTTTATGTAGGCGATCTGAATGAGGGGCTAAAACACAAACATGTCCAAGACAAGACTGACAATTTCCAGGAGTTTCCATGACGCGCGGGAACCCTGAACAAACTGTACTCTGCCCTGAAGACTCTCTGTAACTCCATCGAGGTTTGCATCTGATTAAAACCACCAAAAAAGCCTTTAATGCAGAATATTAGCTGTTCATCGCGGTGTTGAACAACCGAGGGAGATTGAATCTGCTGATTTAATGTGACTGAGCCCTTTTGGGTAGTGGATTTCCCCTTTCTTCATCCCTCAGATGACTGCAGGCTTTCCATCTCGGAGCTCCATCCAATCACTGCAAACAGTTCAAGATGCAGCGTGACAACAAGCCAACAAGAAACAAAGCCTTCGCATCTTATTAACCATTTGCAGATCAGAGAACAACCCAGTCCAGATAATCAGGAATATATACGTATAAAATACTCTGGAGTTGGAGTTAAAGCACCAAAAACTGCACTTAAAGCTGCAACAATCCATATTTTTATATTACAATTATAAATGAATGCTACTCCATGTCAACTGGATGTGTAAATAGGCAACTGTTTGCTAACATGTTCGCACCATATAATGTGTACAGCTTGCTCCCAACCAGCCAAATAATCTGTCAATGCTTCTTTAATGTACGTGCACACTCAATTTCTCTGCAACAACAACAAGACAAGTGTTTTTTCAGCCATTACCAAGGAGATAAACGTCTATTTGATTGTTTAAAGAACCAAGTTTAGGAAGTTAGTCCTTGTGTTTGGTAAGATAAAACACTACACACACTTTTGGGTTTTGATAATCACTAAAATAACAAAAAAAAACTGTATCAATTTGTAAATAAATAACATCAATATCCAGACATAGAGGCCGTGAATTAGGTTACAGATTACAGGAGAACAGGTTTTATGTAAATGAAGCAAATATAAAACCTAAATTGCTATGAATATATTTAAAACTACATCTGACAGCTCTTCTTTAAGCTGTTTATTTAGTAAAAGTTGTTGTTCTGCAGTGAAATGTGACATTATTAGGTTGTAAATTATTGCATTTTATTGTTGTATTAGGTCAACGTGGAGCTAGTTTTAACATCCTTATATACAGTTAAAAGGGTTTCCCCACATGAGGGTCGGGGCCCTCTGAAGGGTCACAAGATAAATCTGAGACAGTTGTGAGATGATTAATGGGAGAGGAAAGAAAAAACAACAAGTCCTGGTACACAAATGTATATATGTTGTTTTTCTCTAATCTTTGCTCTTTGAGCCTGAAACTGTTGTTTACATGGAACCATGTGAGAGGTTAACAGGGGAAATGTGTCTTTGCTGGAAGTGCTGACGTCTCAAAGAGACATCTGAAACGTGACAAGGAGCCTCAACCAGACACTTTGCAAGAGGTCACAAGACTAAAAGGTTGTTCAAACTTTCATGGATGGTAGTTTATAAACGTATTGTGCCTTATTTTAGTGTAAGATTATAATCTGAAAAGTAACCAGTAAGTAGTGGAAGTACAATAATGTCCTTTTAAATGTAGTGAAGGAGACATATAAAGTTGTATAAAAGTACCTTAAAATTGCTCTAAAGTCAGCCTATCTTCTTGAGTAAATGTTTCCACCACTATAACTACATGGAGAGAGAGAGAGAGAGAGAGAGAGAGAGAGAGAGAGAGAAGAAAGACCAGTGGAGATTCACTCAGCAAGAGAGGAAATAATTATCTTGTCATCTGCTGTTGTGTCGTGAGATTTGCCCCCAACTGAGCAGCTGATTGTCTGCAGGTCAGAGGGAACCGGTGCGTGTGGTCTCCCGATGGTGCAACTACTGAAATATCTGAGCATTAAGAGTTTAAATGAGTGAACAGAGGAAGCAGCGAGAGCTTACTGGCAGTTTACAAAACAGTTTTAAAAGTCAGTGCATGCTGATGAACAATTTCTCCTACTGGGATCAATTATGTAATTAAATGTATTAGAAGTGGTTGAGCTAAGCTGGAACGCTCGAAATCTCTCTCCAACAACGTCCCGTGTCATTGCGCAATCATCCGTGTGCAACATTAACCCATTTTCTCGGTTAATTAAAGGCAGAGACACTTCACCCTTGACCGCTGAAACACAAAGCAACAATTTTCTGCAGAGTTCCATTGAACGTGTGTTTCCTGTCCCGTCGTGCTGCAGCCGAGCGCTCTGATAAATAACGGGCAGCGAATCGGATTCGTAACCGCTGCCATTCGGTCCTTTTGCACTAAATATTCAACCTGTTTGCCGCCTTAAAAAGGTCAATGTGTGACCTCAACAATCAATCGTGTGGCGATTTCATTGCTGATGCAGAACGAATGTGATCAGCCTGTTAGCACTCATCACATCAGGGTTCACTAAACTGAGGGGCGGATCTGGACTGGTTCCCAAACTGGGGGGTTGCCAAAGCGTCATTGTGGGTCACTGAGGTCTTCCTGATCTAAAGGGGTGTAAGAAAACTTTATATATACACAGCAGAACTATATGTCAGTGTTTTTTATTTCTTTTTGATTTAAACTCTGAAGATGTGAAGTTATATTATATTATATATTCACAGCTTTCACTCTCTGATAAACTCGTCCTGCTGTAGAAGCTATTAAAGCTGCAGCAGGTAACTTTTATTAAAATTATATTTTGTTATATTTGCTGAAACTTTCACTATATCCTGACAGTAGAACGTGAGGCAGATAATCTGTGAAAAAATCTGGTTTCTCTGACTTGTTCTAGTGCTCCTAATGGGATTATCAAGAATCCCCCGGGCCCGAATGAAAACAACCAATCAGATTAGAGAAAGATATAAAGACACTTTGGGTTGGAAGCTTTAAGATAGTTGATTCCAGTCTCATTCCCAGAGTCCCAAAGCGCCTGTATTTGACTCCCTGGGAGTGAGAGTTAACAATCAATCATCTTTCTCGGCTCTGATTGGCTTACAAATCCCGTTAGGAGCACTAGAACAAGTCAGAGGAACCTGATTGTTATCTGTCTCATGTTCTCCTGTCAGGATATAGTGAAAGTTTCAGCAAATATGACACAAAATAATTTCATTAAAGTTAATTTCTGCAGCTTTAAGTCATATGATTGTTAAAAAAGACAAAATACAGACAAAATTTCTAAAAATATCAAGCAAACTAAAATAAAAAATTGTTTTACTTCATTCATTCCCAGATTTCATTGTAAAGTTTATCAATAGTTCTGTGCTGTTACTGTTATACATTAAATATAATATGAAACATCCATAAAATATGTCACTTAGTCAATTTACTCAATGATAGAAACAGGATCCTTTAAGGAAAAAGTTTGGTGTCAAAATCTGTCAAATCAAACACATTACAGACTATCTGTCATCCGTAAACTCAAAGGAATTTTTGTTCCCCCCCATCTTCTCGTGCTACTGAATCAAAGCATCATCCAGCCCATCCTCATATACTGCTGCTCCTGTTTCCTGTTTCTACAACATGCTAACTGTCACCAACCGGACAAAATTCACACGCTTCACCAACAGCGGCCAAAGATAATCGGACTCCCCCAACACCCAATCTCACAGAACTAAACAACAGGGCCATAGAACTGGATATTACACACCCACTCAACCAATATCTCTCCCCACTGCCTTCTGGGCCGAGGTACCGAACACTGAGGTGCAAAAGAGTTCGCTTTGGAAAAAGCCTAGGGGTCGACAAAGCTTCATGGGAGGTCGCCAGGACTTCTTGATATCAAGGCGTGTAAGAAAACTTAGACACAGTAGGCCGATATCGAAGTAAAAGTAAATGTTAAAGAAACTGTCTAATAGAAGCCTACAGTTTGTATGATTGTTATTAAACATGATAAAAAATACTTTACACAGACATTGCTGCTCTAAACACTGTCATGTATTATTTATTGGATCATTTGTTTTTTGTGGATTTATTGATTGTGGATGTTGTTTG